GTTTGATTATCTAAACTATGAAATATATGGGATCTGTTAGGTTAAATATTTTTTGAAATTAAAATACTATTTCCTAAATCAAATGACATATTTATATTAAATTAAATTTAAATCATTTTTCAAAAATAACGATCGACACCAATGACCTTTCTTAATTCCACCACCTGAAATTCACAAGAGTTTGTAAAAAATTTAGTTATAAATTTCACATTATAAGTAAGTTTAATTATTGATTGAAATCAAATTGCAGTCCAACTGTGAAACATATAAAATAGATAAAATAATAATATCCTGAGGGAGCTTCACATTTCCTTTCCCAGCAATGATTGAATGTAATCTGTCTGCAAGTCTCACCTGTCTAGATGCAAAAGCCTCCTGATAGTTGACAAGAGCATTGATGCCTCACTTTATATGATTAGAGGCTCATGAATATATGACCCAAGTTCTAAATCTTCAATTATTGGCAATATGGGATAAGGATATATTACATTGATGTGTTAAGAAGTTGGTGTGCTGCTCTGAATTACCTCGAAATAGTTTCTTCAGTACTTCAAGTTGTTTCTTGGTGAATGATTCTGTTGATTCATCGAATGTGGTAGTAGCATTAGTCTTTTTCTCTTGATCTTTCCTTCCCTGTCCAAGTTTCCAGTCTGTGGGCCTTCCATGAAGTTTTCAGCATTGTCTTTGATATGCCCAATCTTCTTGCAATAGTCACATGTGGGACAGTTCTTTTTGAGCTTTGAGCCATGGGAAGAATTATGGGTGCACCGGGCTAAGTTTCAATACTTGGTCAAACTCCATTTTGAGTCAGTACCAGCTTCTTCTACTATTTTCTCTCCCGACTCCAACAAAGTCTTCACGTGAAGATGGAAGAGGCTTTATTCAATACTTGGTCAAACTCCATTTTGAGTCAATATCAGCTTCGTTCTCTTCCTTTCAATAATGAATTTAAACAACACAGTATCATGTGAAAATTTTCATACATGTGCCCCAATACATATCCAATTGTAGCCAATACTTTGTCGAGTATTGAAGTATTGAGTAACACTTGGCTCGCCTTGGCGAAGGCCATGAAGCTTAGTTTTGATTTCAAAAAACTCTGCAATGTTCTTATTGTTGGAATATATTTCCCCAGAAATCCTCAGCAATTTTTTAGAGCAAAAAAAACTTTCTCACTTTAGTGGTCATTGAGTTTACTAAACACAACATAACTATATGATCTTGACTCTTCTATATATGGTAATTGGGTTCAGTGATCTCAAGAACTATGTCCTCTCCCGTGAGATATTCACTCTTCTCCTTTATCAAAAATGTACATAAACACGAATTGGGACCATGGAAGAAAGTTATGGCCATCGAGTTTAAGATTTATGATAAAATTAGATATTTAATTAGTCCTATGGACAAAATCTCTAGTCTCTGATTTAGAATTAACCTCCAGAGTAAAACTAGACATTTTCATCCCACTTAGTCATTAACCCTAAGTGTATTTAAGGCTACTTCTACTCGTTGTTTCAGCTTTTGTTGCTCCTTCGAGCTTGTTATCGTTGCTTTTACTGTTGCTGACGTAAGATTCGGTTGCAGGGCCTGCAGCAAAGAAATTTCTGGGTGCAAGCAGAATTCCGTAGGAGGCCCTGCAGCAAGGAAATTTCAGGTTGCAAGGAGAATTCTGAAAGAGGGGCTTGCAACATGGAGAATTTCTAAGGCAGTGAAGAGCTACAAATGGGCCTACAGAGAAGAAATCTAATTGAGGAAGTTTCGGCTGCCTGCAGCGAAGAATTTTCGGCCAAATGAAGGAGGTCTGAATCTGACAGGAAAGAGTCTGACCTAGCGGGAAGGAGGTCCGGTAGCATAAGGCAAATTTGCCTCTGGCGGGAAGGAGATTCGACATGGTAAGAAGGATATCCTGCTGCAAGAAGGAGACTGGGCCTGGTAGGAAGGAGGTCCTGCTGCAGGAGGGACATCCGACTTTGGCAAGAAGAAGATCCGGCCTGAGAGGAAGGAGATCCGGCCCGGTGGGAAGGAGATCCAACTACAGAAAGAAGATTCGGCCAGACAGAGGAGGTCCGGCGGCTAGGGTAATATCTAAATCTTTGGTTCCATGTAGAAATTACTTAGGAAGGAAAATTACTTAATTTTATTATTCACATGCAGGGTACATATGTAGAGACACCAATCCCTCCTAATTTACAAATTTACCAAATATATATAGCCTAAATTAGGAAAGGAAATAAACACAAATTAAGGGGTTTCCAAATTGATCTCCAAGCAAATCTCCCATAAGATCTTGAATAACCGACCGGTCCATGCTTGGACCACCACCTAAAACTTTTCAGATTTCCACAAGAAGGAATAGGTGGTACAATAACTTGGTAGGAAGGCATAAGGCGTATAACAGGAAATAATGGGAATCATTAGCAATTGAAGAGAAGGAAATGAGATTATGAATAGGAAAATATAGAGACAGCATAGTTATTTAGCGCTAAGTGAAGAAGCAGTGCCATATAGTGGGAGATAATAGCATCAATGTTTAAATTTATGCAATTGGGTATTGAGGCATTTTATTTTTATAATGCGAGGCATAAGCCTTAAGATTTTTTGAGGTGTAAGCTTCAATATTAAACTATTAAATTAATTAAAAGTACAAAAATAAACCACTTTGAACAATCCCTCACAGGATCCAATAGTAAAAAAACATACAAGCATAAAAAAAAATTTGAACTTGGTTTCTTAGTAATAAAACATGTGAGTAAACATAAAATGTGATAAGATCATAAAAAATCATATATGCATTCAATGATAAACATTAATCTCATATAATATAGTAAATATAAGCACGTAATAAAAAGTAAGGCCCCCTTACACCCAAACCAACATAAAAAAAAAAGTCCTAAGATCATAAGTTCTCAATTCAAAAGCAACTGCTACATTCATCAATTAGAATCTTTATTAGAATCATTATCATAATCGATTGCTTTCTCATTTTGATTTTTTATTTTTAAGATTCCTAGATAGTGAATGAATGTGTAAAATGAGGTTTTTAAATTTATTATTTTATAATATTATAATTTATAAAGTCAATTAGGCTTAAGCGCCTAGAGACTTAATCAAATTAAAAAGCCAAACCCAAAAAATTGAGGCATGTGCCACAATTTAGGTGCCTTGTTTCTCTGCCTAAGTCTTGGATGAACCTCAAGGAGAGCAACAAATTGCAAAATTTTAAATTAGTGAGATTATGAACAATAATGTCAATACATGGAGAGTAGCAGGAAAATAAAATGATAGCAGATTCGAAGTTGCATCATCGTGGATGACATCAAATAGAAGAAGCGATGCGTACAGGTGAAGTTGCTTTTAACTAAATCCTATAGCATACAATGACTCCAAGGGTCTCCCAAAAACTTACAAATCTGGCAAACGGCAAAGATAGGAAGGCCACTACCATCTCAACCAGAGAGATTCACGAAATTGAAGTAGCTCAAAGTGGCTAGAAGTTTTGACCATATGTTGCATCCAAGGCAAATTTAGTCCAATGAACAACCACATCTTCTAGGCTGAAAACATTACTCAACACAACCCATGAACTTCCGAAACTACCCATACATAACACAGTGTGAAATAATGCGCTAAAAGAAGCTTCCATACCTGTTGCTTACTCATATTTGCATTTTGATTTACAAGATGTTCCAAAACATGAGTACTATACATAGATGACAAGTGACAAAGGAAGTTTTATTTCACTAGATCATAATATGCCAACCACTTCCATAAGTTATGTCTAATATTACCATTATGGTTGACATTTCAAAAAATTGAACGACTTCATTTAATAAGAAGTGGACCAAAGCTTTTGGTACTTAAAAAGTATATTATTAACAAGACCATGATGTGAGCAGAAGTTGGAAGCCAATTTGGAATAAGAATGTGATGTGGTAGAAGTGCATTAGAGGGGACATGAAATATTTTTATGATAAAATAAAAGGGCCTCATTGACTGACAAAAAAAAATTGAGGATTAAAAACAGATACCTTTTTTTCCTTCATCTTTCTTCTTAGTTTCTTATAGGAACTACTGTACTCTAACAACCGCACAATTGAAATTCGAAACTTGTTAGCAGGAGATTATGTGGTGATCCTATTTTTGGAGAATGGCTTTTGCGCAAGGTTGGGATGAAAATGGAGTGCTTCACCTACCTGTTACTCTCATTTCAAAGATCACCAATCTTTTGCTCTTTCATGACTGCATTTGATAATTACACTTCATTATCATCTCAAAGTTTTCATCAGCACTAAAGTATTTCAAATTGACTAGAAGTTTTGACCACCTCAATGGGCTAATTGAAATCTGAAGAACTCTTTTGAAACCAAATGTTGCATCCATAAAAACTTCAGCTCCAAGAAGAATCACTTCCTCCAGGATCGAAACCCAAGACGAAGCACTTGCATTTGGTAATTACACGTCACTATTATCTCAGGAAGAAGTCCATCAACACTTAAAAAGTTCAAAGTGACAAGAAGTTTTGACCTCTCAATGGTCTAATTGAAATCTACAGAACTTTTTTAAAACCAAATTTTGCATCCATTAAAACTTCAACCTGAAGAAGAACCACTTCCTCCAGGATGAAAACCTATTCTCTACGATCCGTTAATGTAGAACTATCCACAGACAAACAGCAAGCATAGAAGTAACGTGATAAGGATGTTCACCTAATTGTTGCCTTCACATGTCTGCATTTGTATGTGTAATTGCATAGTGTTAGACAAAGCCTTATTATAGCCCTGGGAATATTCTCTCTTACTCAATGGAAGGAAGTATAAGACCAAGATTCATATAATTGTATCTAGTGGTTGTTAAGGCTTAACATGGTAAATGTAAAAGTAACATAATGCATGCACATCACGGTGACTACAAAAATGTAATTCTAAAAAAGCGGCCAATTATTGAAAAATCTTGACTGCATGCTAAATATTAGTTTAATCTTAGCTGAGCAAGGGACGCACCAATTTCTATATGTGCTTTACTCGGTATACTGTTGATTGCTCCCGGGTGTAGCTCCATGACACCTACAAGAAGCTTTTATTCCAAAAGCAATCCAAATATGAAATGGAAAAACATCATAAACCAACTAGCCTCATAAGATGCATCGCCCATAAAGGCAGAAAAAATGAAAAAATGAATAACAAGTCAAACTTCTGAGTAAAAAAAAAGCATGTAATAGTTAAAACCTTTTCTAGTTTTTGAGAAAAACATAAATTTGCTTATTTGTTAATTTCTTTTTTGTCCGGAAAACAAATGTATGTCTTTTTGTGATTTTCAATGTTGGTAGGAGTAGAATATTTTATAATTACATAAAATTCAACTTATAAATCATCTAATGATCATACCTACAGTGCCAACAGTGTCAAAGGAACCAGAGTCCAAGACATGTTTTTCAACAGCCAATGCTAACTCGGCAGCGGCCAATCCTGCATCATTTCTAACCAATCAACGCAATCAACATATCAGGATAGTATCTACTAAAGTCATCTTAGAAGAAAAAGTAAGCCAGAACCAACTCATTAACAAAATTCACTAGGATTTCTAAATTAGAGACATTGCAAAATATAGCAACCATATTTGGAAGTAGCACGTGTTTTTGTAATGCTTGAACCTAATAATCATGATAAGCAGATGATCGTGTTGAACACAACGAATAGTAAAAAGATTTGTATGCATCATTAAAATGACAAATGAATATAGCAAAACAAAAGTGAAAAGAGGAATAATTGAGAAACTTTCTTCAGCAAACATGGTCAAAAGTTCAGGTTAAAGGAAAGCATCCATGACATTATTAACGGATTCTGTGCAGCGTCCATAGACATTCGCCTGAAATTAAGTTAAAAAAAGAAGGATGACGAGCATCATAAACTCAATTCATGTAAAATTAGTGAACTCGCTTTAAAAAGACTGCAAGGGTAGTTTGTGTGAATGACTAAAATCTAATCTCCTCTTTAGCGACAGGTTTTATAATACATTCACGAAATAAGTAATTGATACATTATAGATACAATTAACCTGATATTTACTTTATTGAATTAAAGATTTTGTATTAATTGCAAACAGAATTTGATGCCAAAGTTAACCCAAACCAAAATGGATATATGAATATTAGTATTGAATTCAAATAGGATTACAACGATGGCTCATTTCAAAACAGGAATTAAGCAATAAATGACATAAAAGGACGTCCTAGGGTGAGATATGATGTTGAGTGGTGGCTGGACAACAGGCAGAGGGGCTAGTTGGAGGTTGCGAGCACAACAAAAGGCCTGAAAGGGTTTGGTGGCAATGTTGGGATGCATGAAGGACGTAACGACAGCAGGTGGGGTTGTTGTGGGGGAGTTGAAGCCACGACCACGAGTTATGATTCTTTGAGCTCTCATTATTCTATTCTCCTTCGAAACTAGAAAGTCAAGGTTTCACTACTCAGCTCTTTTTTGTACTCTCGTATGTGGAAATAATGTCGTCTTCGTCTCGTATACAGAAGGAATATACAGAATGACCCGTTACATTGATTTGTTTCAATGTCAGTGAAAAAATGGACCTAGGACTTCTTCAGCGATCAGACTCTCTTAGGCTTCTAATGTGGAATAGAATCAATTCACAAGCAAGATAGGTATTTCTCTCCTAGTTCTAGGAAAGGCGATAGTCTCACTCAAAAAAAAAAGAAGGGAGTAAGCCCAAATGGACTGACGATTCACAAAATGTCAGATTCAGGACAGTAGGGTGGTGGAGAGAGGAATAGCGGTAGGCCTTGGAGGGATGCGGGCGGAAGGGGGCAACGATAGTGGATTACAACAACAGGTAACACGGAAGGAGTAGGCCACGATAAGGAGAACGGAAAGAGAAGGATGGACGGTAGCGGAGGGGAGTTGGCGGCACTGTGGAAGGTTGGGGGTAGAATGATGGAGGGCAATGGCAGCAAAGATGATGATTGGGAGAGCAGCGACGGGGACTTAAGAAGGATAACTATCTCCACAAGATCGAGTTACAATTGGAATGCCCCTCGAACTTTTGAAGAAGATCACCACCTTAGGTGAGTTACAGCTGGAGCACTCCTCGCCTTCGGATACAACCCTAGAAGGGAAAATAGTCCCGACGGCTAGATTGAACAAAAATCTAAAATTTGGAAGACAGAAACCAACCCTAACTAAAACAAACAACACCTATATACAATAAGGAATCGTAGATAGAATAGTAGGGAATAGAAATAGAAAGGTGATGTAAAAGGAATGAGGTAGAAAGGAAAGTGCTAGAAAAGGAGGCAAGGAATCAAATAGAAAAAATGGAGGAAGAAGGGGCAGTGACCCCAAGGCTGGCCGACCGGTCCAGCCTCCTTGTTGAACAAGGTTTCTGCCGACCCGGCCAAGGACCAATAAGCCCCATGTCAGTCTCTCGGGATTTAAGAAGCTTCGACTTTATGAGTCGAAGCATCAGGTTCTCTATTTTCAGTCCTAGCAACACCTGGATCTCATTGTCGACTGCATTCTCCCAAAGCATCAAAGGAGATTTCTCCACTTGCAAGCAAGCACCCACGTCGATCTGCTCGCCCAAGGGTCCACTACTGAACTAAACTGAGTCTGAGTGTCTTGTCTATGCTGCTAAATACTCCCGAAGTAATCTACGATCGGCTCAACCCAATTTGAAGTGAGGGTAGCCTAATGCTCTTTAAACGATGATGGTCATGGCGATATGATATCGACCATGGCATCCTAAAATGCTCTCGATCGTGATTGTCCTGTGTTTGGAGTATGTGTCTCAAAACTATCATCATCTGTTGTTACCAAAACTGATCCCACCAATGGAGGACTATGCGCTTCCCATCATTGGTGGAGGAATGTGTTTCTAAATTTGTCATGTTGAGTCCTCCAGTCACACAGCCACTGCCTCCCCAACAAAAGGTGGCAAACATCCACGGGGACCACGTCGCACCACATCTGGTCCTGCAACTGGCTCCCAATCAAAAACTCCAAGAAGCACCTCTTGTCAATGCTGACCCTATTTTCCTTCTTCAGTCATCAGATAATACGGATGGGAGTGTCTCTAAGTCATGAGGCCTAATTTCTCCAGCATCTGTGTATATGTCACATTCTTGATGCTTCCTCCATCGATGATGAGACTTCATATCTTTCCGCCGCACAACGGGTGTAGAAAATGTTGTGGCGAAGCCACTACAGATCATCATATCCTCGGTTTGTAGGACTCGTCCAACCACGAGTGTCTCTCCTTCATTTGGTGGCTCATGATACACCTCACCCTACTTTTTAGTTGTCTCCACGTTGTTAACCTTCTCCACGTCGCTCTGCTCAGTAAAAGGCAACTAATTTTGTCGAGCAACTGGAGGCGAAGTACCCATATCCATGGCATTTGAAGCATTGCCTAGCAAGGACTATAGCAAGCGTGCTACTCTTCTCAAACTTCTTCTCACCTGAGGTGACGAGATGTGCTTCTGCTGGTATCGCCAACTATGGATGGCTGCCTAACTGGTGATGGTTGCCTACTCTGTTTCTACCACCTTTTCACTTTCAATGCTAAAGTTTGGCATCTCCAAGTGAACAATAAGCTACATTTGTACCACGTTGCTAATCAGACCCCTAATGTAACGGGCTACAGTATGCTCCTCCAACTTGTTTTGCTCACATTTCATCTGTAAGTGGTCGAACTGAGCTGTGAACTTGACTGAAAGCTCCTGCAGTTGTAGGTAATGGAGCCTCATAAACATGTCCTATCGGTAATGATGTGGAAAGTACTTCTGCATTGTTTTTTTCATCTTCTCTCACTTTACAATCTTATTGACGTCTTTTGTTTTTCTCTATCGATGTAAGTTCTCCCACCACAAATAGGAGCTCTTTTTCAACTTGATAGCAGCTGATTTTACATGCTTATCCTCTGACACATTTTTATTTTCAAAGATTCGTTCAACAGATTATAGCCTATCAACAAGTTCATCGGGATCCATACCTCCCTCAAACTCTAATAGATCCACATTGATTTTGTAGTCTCTATGTCCCTTCAACCGATATCTCCTCTCTCGGCCTCCTCTGATATTGTATTACAAAAAGTTATGGCCTTTCATATTTATCACTAAAATCCTCCCTATAGAATGCGTTGAAATTTTTGTCCCTTTCTCATCTTCAACTTCCCTGTCATTATCGAGGGTAAGTCCCTCCAAGGTGTCATTCTGAATGTCCGTCAATCTCGGCGGAAGTCGGTGAATCTCTCGTTGTATCTCTTCCCCCTATAGGCTCGGGCATGTATCTCCTTGGTGGCGTGGCTAGGGTTAGGAATGGGAGGTGAAAGAGAGCAAAAAATTTGATTTTGGTATGCTGATTTTCAAAACTAGCAAATGAAAATTAATGTTAGGTAAAATTTTCACTATGATTTGGAGATAGGAAAGAAAACTTTCGGTAGAGGGGTAAGATTAACGCTATGAAACCATAAGATAGCACTAGGATTAGGCTAGCTCTGATATGAAATGATACCGAAGTTAACCCAAATCACAATAGAAATATAAATATTATTGTTGAATTTCAAATAGGATTAAAATGATGACTCATTACAAAACAGGAATTAAACGGTAACGAACATAAAATGACAACCTAGGGTGAGGGCGGCGGTGTTGAACGGTTACTAGACACTAGGTAGAGGGGTTGGTTGGAGGCTATGGGCACAGTAGAAGGCATGGAAGGGTTTGGCAGCAATTTTAGGATTTCAAAAGGAGGTAACGGCAGCGGGTGGGGTTGTTGTGAGGGATTTGAAGCCGCGACAAAAGGGTGGAGAGGGGAATTGCAGCGGGCCTTGGAGGGATGCAGGCAAAAGGGGGGCAACAGTAGTCGGCCACAACAGGGAGAACATGAAGGGAAGGTTGGGCGGCAGCATAGTGGAGTTAGAGGCCCTATGGAAGGCTGGGGGTAGGATGGTGGAGGGCGGTAGCAGGGATGATGATTGGGAGAGCAATGGAGAGAATTGGGGAAGGATAAATATCCCTGCAGAATCGAGTTATGGCTGGAACACCCCTCGAACCTTTAGAGAAGACCACCACCTCAGGCGAGTTACAGTCATAGCACATCTTCGCCTTCGGATACAGCCCTAAAAGGGAAAAGAACCACGACGGCTAACTTAGACAGAAATCTGAAACCTGGAAGACAAAAATTGACCCTAACCAAAACAAACAACACCTATATATAATGAGGAATAGTAGATAAAATAAATAGGAAATAGAAACAAAAAGGTGATGGAAAATGCAGGAGGCAAACAAGAAAAGTGCAAGAAAAGAAAGGTTAGACGAGGCAAGGAATCAAATAGAAAAAAAGCGAAAAAAAGGGGTGGTAACTCCCACCCCCAAGGTTGGTCGGCCAATCCAGCCTCCCTGCTAGAACGGGTTTCTGTAGACCCGGCCAGGGACCAATAAGCCCTGCGTCAGAATTACCTGCATTTTTAACCGTACGTAAAGTAACTATATGAACTATTACTTTATTAACTGGGCCAAAAGATGATCCATAAGTTTAACAAGAACTAATAGTATATCCAATTACCAACCTAGCTGGCATAAGAACAGCTCCAGCATGACCACCATTCCCTTCAAAATCAAGAGCCATACTTGCAGGAGCAGCAATTGCAGTGACAATGCCAATTGGAATGCCTAAATAGAATGATTAGTGAATAAAAAATAGAAGAAATAGTAGATGTATAAGGAAACCAATATATCAATCTGATTGACAAGAATTGCAACCTTCCTCTTCAAGAATCGGTCCTTGCTCTATGTGCAATTCTACAAAAGAAAAATAGTTATCTTTCTTCAGGAAAACGTTAGACAGATCTTCCTGATGTATTGCATACCCAGCAGATCGTGCAGCTTCAAGAAAAGAAATATTTTGCCCATCAACAACTTGCTTAAGAGCATTAGCTAGCTCTGCATTTCCTGCCAATAATCGGCTGCACATGCAAAGCACCACTGAAAATTTATCAAATAGATGCTACATCTGCGCCTTATGGAAAAAATTAACAAAACATATTAAGCTACTAAAGAAAGTGCAGTAAACGTTAATAAAAAATCAAGAAATTAATTAGTTCTGAATTGTTCGATTAAATTCTAAAAATTGCACAATTACAATCAATAATTATCACTAAAATGAGAAACGTCAAACCTTCCCAGGCAGCTTATTCCAAAACGTGTAGGCTCCTCAGACGTGAACATAATTACTTCCAACGATCTCTTAGGCTGAAATCCAGACCTGTCAAAGTCAATCTAAGTAAATATTACACTACAAAAACTCAGGCTAGGTATAGAATTATAATAAAATGCGTCAAAAAAAAGAGCTAGAAATACTGGGCAATAGCATAGTAAATTCAACAAGATTTAGTAAATCATGCATGCCAGTACCTTTTCTTTTCATCTCTTTTAGACTTGAAAATGTAATTTGGACTTTAAGTGCATCTATTGTATTTAAAATTTAGAAAGTAGCCAGAAAAGCCGCAATATTGCCCAATACAATAATTATATTTCACAGGAAAATTAAGATTTTCACGAAATCTCCTAATAAACACTTCCATCTCCAGTATATTAGCCCGATTGAATAAGACATGTCACATGGTATGCTTTAACAAGAAACATGAGCTCACTGCTAACCCCCTTGCATTTTGTTCAAGAGAAAAGAGTGTCTAAAGTCTGATTCAAGAAAGAACTCCTCCACTTATAATAAAAAAATAATCACAATGTGCCGTTGTACAACAAATGAACATACTCCACGAACTATATATACAGCATTAAACAGTTTGCTCAAGCGATACTTCATACGCTGATATCTTCCACAAGCTAAAGCATATGCATCAATTAGCTCCACTTTTTCATATAAACAGTAAAGCTGAATTACATTAAAATCTCTGGAAGATATATCTGTCAGCGACTCAGCTATACTAACCTCAAAACAGTAATAATTTTCTTTGGCAGTACCGCATCTTGAATGAAAACACAATCAACCCGAAATATGTTCTGTTTTCTCGTTAAAATGGGATTACAGGAAATATAGATGGCAACACGATTTCCAAGTTTAAAAGCATAAGTTGTGCAACGGACAAATCAAATAATCCCAGGACGGTCTTAAACCACATCATTTCAAATGAAGAAAGTGTCAAGACTCTGCATTATGCCTTAGAGCTTGATTTAGCCACCTGATGCAGGAGCGCATATTTCCTGAGTGACCGCGCCACTGACATGGGAGCTTCTGTTTCCTGCAAGACTGCGCCAGACGCAGTCCAGAGAGCTCAGTCTAGGCGTTTCAAGGGCCAACTAGCCCTCTTGATTGCTTGGGGTTTCCGCCCACCATATGGAGGTCACTCCTTAGTTACCCTAGTATTATATATGTTTTTTCCTCGTGTTTAGGGCAGTTTTTCAAGTTTTCTATCAGCCCCACCAACATCCAAGGTTTCTTCTTCTAGGGCTGTATCCGAAGGCGAGAAGATACCCCAACAATAACTCATCGTAAGTAGTGATCTTCTTTTAAAGGATTGAGTGTTGCTCCGGTTGTAGCTAGTTCTCGAAGGAGTATTTATCCTTTCCCAACTCCTATGCAACCTTTCCAACCGCCGTCACTGCCTTCCCCTCCCTCAATTCAATTCCTTTGCAGTCCCAACCCTCCAACTTTGAAGCCATCATGGTTCCTTCCCTCGCCTCGCTGTTTTGGCCACTATACATCCCTCCGTACTTGTTGCAGCCGCCTGGAACAGCAGCCAGCTCATTCAGCCCTAACCCTCACTCTTGCAGTCCCCTGACAGCACTCCCTTTACCGTCCCGCAGTCCACAACACTTCCACTTCACTGACCCTAGCTGTCCCAGCCCTCTACTTCACTGACCCTCGCTGTCCCAGCCCTCCACATCACCGCCGCTGCCATTTCACTCCTTTTGCTACGCTGCCAAAGCAATTCCAGCCCCTCATTTTGCTGACCCAGCAACCCACACCCCATTTCAGCCTCCTACTATCACTCTTTGACCACCTAGCCAATCCCCACCAACCATGGATTGAGCCCGAGTGTGTGCTTATATCTTGTTTGTTGTAATTTCTCTTTCAAGTGTGTTTGATTACAACTGCATATTATTTTCCCAATCGTGATTTGGATTAACTTTACTATCATTTGGTATCAAAACTAATATAACCCAGTCTCATCCTAGAGTTTCTAGCATTCACCAATACGTAACCACACCACCACACAAAAATCCTTCCCACTGCTGATTTTTCAAACCGGCCACTCAAAAAGTTTCTCTCTTAACCTACATCATCCCTATACACCATCTTCCACCTACTCAAATCTTAACCATGCCACCAAGAACACAATAGACGAAACCTGGTCAAGGGGAAATGCCACAATATCGTTTATGAGAAATTCGTAAAGAGATGTTCGGGAACATTTTATGAAGGATGTATGGCAGGAAATCCTATAAAAGCAACAGAGATTTGCCACCTCCGAGAGAAAGTAATCCGGAAGAGTCACCCGTAGCTACAAGAGTGACTTGCTAGATCGAAGGATTTGAGTAAATCTCTTTCACCATGCGGATTTAAGAGATGAAGAACCTATGCCCTGAAGATTTGACCTGAAATATCTGAGAAACCAGAATTTTGAGATAACAGTGGATTTGCCAAATTTTGATGTTCAATTGGATCAATACGAGTACATATGGTGGGACTTTTCTTTGAGTATCAGCACGTTCCATCTAACAAATGATGAAACTAGCCACCATCAAGTTAAAGAAAAGTGCATTCTTTTGATGGCAAAATTTGAAACATTTACGCCAGCATGAGGGAAAATATAAAATCAATACTTGGTCCCAGATGAAATGAGAGATGCGGCGCCAGTATCTATTAGTTCATTACGGATAGGATATGCAGACCCTAACTTCAAAAATAGAAATACAACATTATCGGACGATCACCACATTTTATAGGCAAAGTACAATTCTAGAATCTTACAAGAATAGTACACTTAGGGGAACATCCAAGTGATCCCAACCAGAGGCACTAGGTCAAAGTCGAGAACAGGTGGAACCGATCCGCATTCTCAAATCCATCCCAGCCAATAAGTGTTTCAAGTGTCATGAATTTGGGTATATTGAATCAAATTGCACAACCATGAGAATGATCTCTTTCACGAAACAGGGAGCATATGAAGATATAAACAGTGAACCAGGAGAAGATGAAAATTCTTGAGAGGATTCTCAACTTCTAGCCGACGACGAAGAGATGTCAGCGATTACTATTGAAACAAGGAGAAAGATTTCAGCTAAGTTAGCAGTAGTTATTCTAGAAGGTAGTGAGTCAGAGGTAATGAGCACACATTCAGAGTGTGAGATTGTGATGCCTTGAGCTACCGTTTTGCAGACGTTGAGAGAAGCATCAATAGGACTGACATCAAATGTCCATGAGTTTTTGAGCCGATATCAAATAAGAGAAATTTAGACTTTTCAAATAATAGGTTATTTCCTAAGTTTCCCCTATTAAGGAAGGTCCGGTATGTCTGAGATGATACTCCTTCGTGACACTTTTGAAAGCCCATTGGGAGTCATTTGGGTATCAATTTTCGCTCAACAGTATACTCAATGGCAAATGATCAGACATAAGGGATGGCTCGCACTGTTGGAAGTTGCCTTAAGAGCTTAGCAGGAAAGAAAACTTTTCAATGGGATCCAAATCCTTTCAGAGAAAACGGAGAAGAGAACTTTTCCTGAGTGGTTATGCTTCAGTGTGGCCCAGGTTGGCCGAGATATCATTCCGGAGTTGAATACATCTTATATACTTGTTTATCAGATACACTCAGACGAGTAAGAGGGGTGGAAGAAGCAAATTACAAATCTAGAGGCTCAAAAGTTTATAAAAATCTATGACGATATGCACCTTCAACTCTAATTGTGCCAGAAAAAGATTGATACTTATTCTACCATGATGTATTTTGGAATGACAACGCCTACAAGATTAACTTACAAGGATATTATGTCTTTTAGTTATCTTCAACGTGGTTGGTCTGACATCATACTATGAGGAGACAAAAACTTTGATGGATGAGATTAAATCTCTCCCAGCGTCGGGAGACTGACGCGGGAGTGTTTGTTTCCCGCATGACAGCACCATTAACACAGCAAAGTTTGTTTCCCGCGAGATTGTGCCAGACGAGGTCTGAACCTCTCAGTCAGGAAGATTCAGAGGCCCGTCAGCCCTCCTTTCAACTTGAGGTTGCCACACACCCTATGAAGGTCACTCCTTAGTTACCCTAATATTATATATGTTGTTTCTTCATGTTTTAGGACCTATTTCGTTTTGTCTATCAGGGTTGTTGCTGGCATCCATGTATACAGGTTTCCCCTTCTAAGGCCCAGTGCAAAGCACGACAGGGATGCAATTTCGGTCGTTTTACAGAACATAAAAAATCTAAGCTCCCAGGAGGGGTGAGGCAGCGCCCAAATCCGTGACTTCAACCTGAACGAGTGTAAAGGAGCACCAGCACTACGACACCAGGAGCGATTTGTATGCAGTTTGGGATTTAAGCCCTCACTTCACAAAAGATCATACTCTTGCAGTGTTTTTTTACGGGTGTACCAGATGTAGAGCGGCGTCTGTATCGAGAGCGTTGATTTCAACGAGTGTTTTCTCTTGTGAGATAAAGAGAGGAAGGAGCATGAATTGTTATAAGTTTTATTGTAGTAAAGAGTGGATCTGGGTGTTGTAATTCTGTATTATTCTCCTTTCATAGTGAAATTTTTAGTGTGGTGTGACTCCGTGATTTTTTTCTTAGTTTTAGGTTTTCTCACGTTAAATTTGCATTTTTTTTTTTTATTTTCTTATGTGCTTCTGTTCACTTTATTGTCTCGAATTAGTGAATTTTTTTGTGGTGAGATTTTTTGTTTTAAAGCGATCAAATCACAAGTTTTCATCCTAATAAGTGGTATCAGAGTGGGATTTTATAAAGACTTCTGATTCTAGTGAGAGTAATGTTCAAAGCAAAGTATAAGGTGGAGAAGTTAAATGGTTCAAACTTTACGTTTTGGAAAATACAAGTGAAAGATTTGTTGTATCAAAGAAATTGTATCTGTCACTAGAAGGAATCACCAAGAAGTTTGAATCGATGGCTCTAGAGGAATGGAAAGTGCTTGATCGAAGAGCCCTAGGTTTGATTCATCTTTGACTTTTTTTGTATGTTACTTTCAACAGTGAATGATAAAAATATGATGGATCTCATGCCAGCACAG